TTTTTTTTTTTTTTTTTTTTTTTTTTTTTTTTTTTTTTTTTTTTTTTTGTATTAATATATTTTAATTATTCAACATGTGAAAAAAAAAATTTATATTGCCTCGTTTCATTCTCACTTTAAAAAAAACTTTGGTAAGCGCGAATCTATATACATAAATGCAGGACTAAATCTTTAATCTAAATAAATTTCCCATAATAAAATTCATCACTTCATACTTTATTAAATATACATACGTCGCATATCAAACTAGTCTAAATAACCTGTCCATAAGACTCGCATTCGAGCCAGATAAATGCTCGGGGTATTAAAGGGCGCAGTTAATGGAATTTCAGTCGTTGTTTGCAATGAATTTAAAGCGCGACCAGATTGTTTATACACATGCATTATGTATAATAAGTGCATATGCGATATATACACACACACATACATATACATATAATGCAAACACAATGTAAGGAACCCGAATGGAACTCCATTTGCTCACGCGCTGCGGCCTCGTGTGGCTGTTGAGAAAGACTGAAAAATATAAAACAGACGGAGAAATCAACGTCAGTAAAATTTTATTGAAATGTCAATTTCATTTGCATAACTTACGCGCAGGGCATTACATTAAATTACATTAATATGCCAGATGGCCACTTACGCGCGAATAAAATCAATTTCAACTGCTCGATGGGCCGGCAGTTAAAGCAATGAACAAATGCCAGAAACCAATTCATTTCACTTTATGCCCGTTGCCCATAGCCCCATGGCTGTTGCCTGTTGGCCATTGCCCGTTGCTAGGTTTATTTAAGCCAAATCTCCGAGTCCCACTCACACCCACACCCACACTCACACCCACCCACACATGCTCACATCTGAATTCAGTTATCCGTGCTTTTGACGTACTTAACCTCCGGTGGTCAGCACTGCCTTATGATAAGCCCAAGGATCTGGCCAGCAAGTGGCCATTTGATCTGTTGGCCCTTTTCGATTGCCAAAGCGGCCTAAATGTCTAACGAAACAGGAAATAAATTCTCAACAGCCTTTTGTGCCATGGCCGATGCTACTCGAACGTACGCCACGCCCATTGTACCGCCCATCCAGCAACGGCCGTAGCCGTAGCAACTGTATTTACTGGACTTTGGCCGAACACAAAGAAAACCTGGCAAAATGTTTGCTTTAAATGCGGTCACCTGGCCCAGACGCATTGCACTTGATATTACGCTCTGGCTGGGGTATTTGAGCTAGGTCAACACACTACACACACTGGGATGGGAGATAGTTTATTTGAATACTGAAAAAATCATGGAGAACAATGAGTTGATCTTAAATCAATATTTACTTTTGCTTATTGCTCTTGCCAAATAATATTAGTAGAACTAAGATGAATTATACAATTATAGATGGTGAATCAAATTCATGGGCATATTAGCTATAAGTTACAATACTCTTTGAGTATCATATTAAGAGAATTGGAATTAGACAAAGTGAATTCCTATGAATCCTTAATGAAGGATTAGTTTATTAGCTTGTCAAAAACTCCAGTTCCTTTAGAAGGGAGCAATAGGAAATAAATCATTCTTAAATAATAATAATAATGAGAACATAATAAAAATGATGCAAAAACTTTGATATGTACATATACATATATTATATATAAGCTAACATTTAAATAAATTCATTATATTATATTAAATATTAGTTAACATATATACAAATACAAAAGAAAAGAGAGAGAGAGAGCTGCATGAACTTGTTTATTCAAACCCTTTCATTCAAGATAGGGAAACCCAACACATTTCTCCAGCCCAGCGTATTACAGGGTATATAAAACATTCGCATATGCTAACGATTGATAGCGCATTCTTTTTATGTTGTTTATTGTGATGCACTCTAAGTGCAGAGCAAGAGTTGATGTCGACTGGTTGTCGTTGTTGTTGTCTGTTGCTGTCGTTGCTGTGGTTGTTGTTGTTGTTGTTGTGTTTTGTAGTGTTTGTGTCTGAGGCAGCACGGCTTCAAATGCAACATTTCACCGGAAAGGAGCGGAAGAGCTTTTATATGCCCGGTCTACTTCCGGTCCATGGCAGGGCCAAGTTGTTGCTTTTTGTTATCCTGGCCGAGTGGCTAGCTCGCTTGGCAGGCCGTTAACAATGGCAGCGCCTATGCATATGCCAGAGATCCCTCTGCCTCGGCGCAGTCAAGTGCTAACAAAGTGTTGCATACTTCAAGGCGACGCCCTTAAACTTCCCAGCTGCAGTCTAATAAATGGCCATAAGAGTGCCATACACCAGCTCTCTCAGCCAACGCCACTCAGAGACCATTCAATCCCAGCACTTGGGAGCGATTCGATTGTTGTTGTATACCCTAGGATGATTTACTTACAGTGTGATGGACTCGCATAGTTAAGCTAGTCTAATATGGGATGTGTTATAGTGTAAAACTAGATTCCATAGGATCGCTCTAAAAGATAACACTAAGAATATTTCAAAATATTTTTCTATGATTTTCATTCTATCTAAAAACCACAGCTGCCAGAGAGAGGGAGAAAGAGAGAGAGAGAGAGAGAGAGAGAGAAACAAAACGAGGGGGTTGCCATCAAAAATACAAAATTATAGAGACTTAAATATCTAGAACGAGGATCTCCATCTTTTGAAAATAAATCACAGTTGAGTCGTTATCCTCTTTGCCTATTTACTCAAATATATCGATAAAAAAAAAAATTATATTTAAAGATATGCCGGATCGTAATACAAGGAAACCATCATACCAGATTCTTAGCGAACAAAAAATTCGAATGATCATAACAGAATTTTTTATTCTCCTGATTCTGCTCGTTTGCACGCAATTAAGTGAGTATATCGACAGTTATACGTGGGTCCACCTATCATCTATCTAACTATGCACGCACAGTTACAGAAACCGCGGTTCACAAATACTCCTACTATAGCTACACGCAGACAAAGAATGCATTCGTTAGGGAGTCGAACTACAGGTCACACCATAAGTACATTGGCCCGGTTTTCAAAAATGTACAGAAAATATGGGATATATGGGATTTTGCCACATATAATTATCTATATATTCTACACAATGAGAAAAACTTAACCAAGGATAAGAGAACAGAATTTCCACATCTATTCAACATGGGACTAATCATTGGTGTACCAAGAATACGACAGATACGCGTCAGGGACATGCATTGCCCGCAAAAAATCAATTTTTTCGACTTACACGGAAAGAAGTGTTATCCAAGTTATTCATATAAGCGTGAGTTTAAAGGAACCTTTCAGCAGTAAGTAAACTTTGGCTAACATCTTTATATTTTTTCGGTTCTCCTCATAACTCTCCAACTTTTTGCCCGAACCTTCATAAATTAAAGCTAATTTGTAGAGTTTATACTCATCAAAATACCTCTTAACATCTTTCCTCATATGTTCATTGTTATCCCTCTCACTCCTTTCTATCTCTCTCTCTCTATATATATATATATATATATATATTTCTCTCTCTCCGCTCTCTTAGCAATTTCCTTCTTGTAGTCTAGTCTAATTAACATACTCGATCTATTTAATCTCGACCATTATAGGGTAGACTACGTGGCAGATGCCAAACGTCTGAAACCAACTTTTGTCAGATACGCCGGCGGAGGATTTTCGATTAACCTGGATTACGATTATGAAACTAATAAGAACTTGTTGAGGAATCTGAAGAGATCGAAATGGATTGATTCGGCCACACGTCTGGTTGTAATCGAATTCAGTGTCTACTTCGAGGACATCAATATGTTTCAGGTTCTTAAGTGAGTTTCACGATCTGTTAAACTAATTATTGCTCTACTAAAATCACATTACGCATTTCAGACTAATGTTCGAAATCATGCCGACGGGACTGGTGACGCCCTCAGAATTCATACAAGGCATTCAGCTAAACAGCTTCCTAACCTTTACACTCTTAACCATTTCTGCTGGACTTATCTTTTCCATCATCGTTATTTACTATACATATGTTGAAATTCGGGAAATTAGATGGGTCGGCGTATCGGCCTACAAGAATAATATCTATAATTATGTTGATGTATTCTTCCTGATTGTGAGTGAATTTGAGCTCCATTCCGATTTCACGTTCGATCTCAGAATCATTTCCTATGTCCATTCATTTAGGCAGCATACTGCGTGCTGTTTTATAATATCTGGCACGTAGTGACGGTTCGAGACATCGAGAAAGCCTACGAAAAGAACCGCAGTGGATATATAAATTTGGACAAGCTGAGTACAGGCTGGAATGTGTACCTACATATGTTGGGCATCATGAATGCGTGTGTTTGGCTCAAGCCAATACGATTCGTCTCGTTCCACAGGGCTATTCAACAGGTGCTGGCTGCCATGAAAGTGGTAGGTGAAGTATTGCAATGCTCCCATTTGGTTTTCGGTTGCGTTAAGTAAGCCACCTCCATCCCCGATTGCAGTCCATTAAAAGCATATTGGGTTTATGCTTCTTCTGTCTGATCTCGATTTACGCATTCGCCCAGTTGGGCTGCATTGCATTCAGCCAATCGAACGAGGAGTATACAACTGAGTTTTCATCCATACTTGCCCAGATTCGATTCGTTATGAACGACATCTCCTATAGCTCTCTGGAAGATGCTCACGGAGTGCTCGCACCATTCTTCTTTGTTGTTCTCGCTATAGTCGCCTATGCCATTATCTTGGTAAGTCCCACTTGGCCTTCGAGGCACCACAACGATTCTCAATTGACGCAAGTTTTAGAATCTATTCAAAGCGATTTATCTGAGCGCCGATTCGGCTGTGAAGAAGCAATTGATCGTCAATGATATTGTAATAGCTCGCATGCTGCAGCTCGGCTTCAAGCGTTACCTTTACTTCTGGCGCAAGCGTAAAACAGAGCAGATCGACCTGACGTCAAAGCTGCGACCTAGCGAGAAATTGCCTGGGATAAGTGAGGAGAACCAAGCGCAACCAAGACCAAACCCCACTCAACAAATACAAATAATTAACCAGCTTCGCGAGCAACTGGCAATGTGAGTTCACGTTATTGATATAGCTCTTAAATAGTGATAATCTATCCTCATACTCCATCCTAGTGAGAGCGAGAAGTGTGCGCGCATCGAAAGAATTATGGAGATAATTGTGGACATAATGGAAAACATTGAAAGGCTACACAACAACAATAATATATCAAAAGAAACGAAATACTAATTGAGATTAATTTGTAGAAAGTATACTTAGATGTATATATACGGGTTGTTTATAAATGTTTGATGTCATTGTTTTCATTACATAATCATCATAATCATCATTAATCTGTGTGGGGCTATATACAGTATATATGTATATTCCCATACCTATACCTATACCTATACCTGAATGTGTTATCCCATTGAGCCTGAAATTGTGGTAGACTATGAAGAAGTCGTCTTTAAGAGAACTATAGAACAGAATTAACAGCTGTCCATGCCATCTGATAATTATAAATATTCATGTACATACACTATTTAGCATATCAACATCTGTATAAACATATATGTATGTATATCTGTCTCTGTCTCAGTCGCTCTGCCTAACAAAGGCAAGTGACGAAGAAGAAGTACAGAAGATCATTGCAGTTGTCTAACTGTATGCAACAGTATTCATTTGGTATTTATATTCACGTAAAACGAAGCTAGAATGCTTGCGGTAGCAGAGGGTGCTCCTATTGGTCACTTAAAGCTCGTCTGCAGAAGAGAGTGTTCTCATTGGTCACTTGAATCATGAGTGCAGCGACATCTACCTGCCGTCGGGCTAAACATTTGAGAGAGTTGCCATATATAAAGAGCAGCAGCTGCAGCATTTCTTCAGTCGCCCAGGCCCGGTGGGGGTCAATCGTTCGGTGAATTAAAGTGAAGTGAAGTGATGTGAAGTGATGTGAAGTGATGTGAAGTGAAGTGTGATCGTTCAGCTAAGCATTAAAGACTTGGAGGAAATACTTAAGGGAAATAATTAGGGAAAATACTTTGAGGAAATTCTAAGAGGAATGATCGTTCGCTCAAGCAATAAAGACTTTTGGGAAATATTGTGCTCAGCAGAAATACTCACAAAAATACTTAAAGGAAAAATATTTACAGAAATCACTTAACCAAATTAGTATACCTCATTTTTTTAATATATTAATATTATGATGAAAGAGAAATTACAGATTAGCTTATTCCGCGCTCTAGGTAGTCAAGAGCTATCAGCACCCACTTCTCTGTTTCTGTCGCGACGCGTCGAAAAAACGCTTCTTAACGCTTCATTTTCACAAACCTTGCCCATTTTCTTGATATTGTTAGGTAATTTCAATTTTTGAAACTTTAGACTTAAATTGAAATCGCAAACGCCGCGTCGCACCGCACCCCACCACACCGCAACGGCCGCCCCCTCGGCCTGCGCACCATTTGCCATTTGCCTAAATGAATGCGGATGAACAAGGAGCGTGTCGGTCGGGCCTGAGAGATAAAGCGCGCACACAAAAATAAGTCAAGAGGAAAAAAAAGAGCACAGGTTAATGGATTTTTCTTGTGATATTTGACTTGAGACACACGGCGATGACCACCCGACCCCACATACTCCACACTCTCACTATATATATATATATATATATATATATTTTTTTTTTTTTTTTTTTTTTTTTTCTTTTAAAAAGTTTTTTTTTTTTTTTTTTTTTTTTTTGACCTTAAGACGATTTTCATTTTATTTTCACTCTTTATGCTGTGGCGGATTTTACAAGTGAAAAAGTTTACATTTATTATCAAGATGTCTAGAGTGGGCGGCTCCATTTTGGAGGGACAACAAACAACACATTACGTTTAATTGAATGTTGCGGTTGTCGCTTGTCGTCGGCACACGACAACAACAACAACGGCAACAAGGAGACCATTTTGATGCCCGCTTGGGCTTGGGCTGAGCTTTTGTGTTTGCTGGGCACGCGCCCAAGACGAACAAAAATTATAATGTAGTGTAAATATTTAATGGTGATGTGGCTTTAGATTATGTTGCCATCACGTGGCCGCTGTTAAACGTGTGCCCTGCTGCTGCGAGCCACTAACATGGCCAATTCAATGAACTGTAAATTTCACTGGTTGTTGTGCGTATTTCGGGCCGAACTTCTTTTACGCATACAATGCATATAAAAAAATTTAAAAAAAAAAAAAGATGTCATAACTTATTTGTATGTGCGAATCACTGAGCTGCGGACAGAGATAATAAAAGCGAAATGAATATGTAAATGCAATTTGCATATATTTCAGTGAAAATATCTCATAACTTATGCTGTTGGCAGTAAGTGAAATTTGAATTTTACGCGCGCTGCACACTGGCGCCATCTATGTTGAACTTTTGTAAATGCAATTACTCACTGAATTCTATAGCAATCTGCATTTGGTTGAAAGCGTGTATCGAGTATTTTAAGTCGAAGTTCTTTGACATTTGACATATCGAGAGCATATCGATTGCGTGACTTACTCGATACCTTGTGATAGAGAAAATGTACGTCATGTGATTGTGGATTCTTTTTTTTCGCACGAAGCAGTCACCTGTCGGCCGAGAAAAATACAATTACGCCTGCAATTTGGTAAATAGCAATTAATTTTTGTTTAAATTCGGATTTTATACAGTGTTTTAAACAATAGACAGACCAAAAATCGTGCAAGATGGCGCCCCAAATACGCACAGTCGTAACGCAAACATTTCTATGGCTCTTCCTCGCCGCGGCCACAATCCTCATCCTCTACTTTGTTATGACTGGCAAGGGCGAACGCGTGAGCGTTGGTTGGTTCCTGACCACGTCCAGTCCGTACATGTGGGCCTGTCTGGGCATCGGATTATCTGTTTCCCTGTCTGTCGTTGGCGCTGCCCTTGGCATTCACACCACGGGCACCAGCATTGTGGGCGGTGGCGTGAAGGCGCCACGCATTAAGACCAAGAATTTGATTTCGGTTATTTTCTGTGAGGCTGTCGCCATTTACGGCCTCATCACTGCCATCGTGCTCTCTGGTCAGCTGGAGCAGTTCAAAATGGAAAATGCGCTCGCCAACGAGACCGTGATGAACACAAACTGGTTCTCGGGCTATTTGATTTTCGGTGCAGGCCTTGCCGTCGGCCTGGTCAACTTGTTCTGCGGTATCGCGGTCGGTATTGTTGGCTCCGGAGCAGCGCTTTCGGATGCTGCTAATGCTGCATTGTTTGTCAAAATTCTGATTGTGGAGATCTTCGGCTCAGCCATCGGTCTCTTTGGTTTGATTGTGGGCATATATATGACATCCAAAGCTAAAATGGGTGATAAGGATTAAGTGGCCGTGAGTATTAACTAATTTTAATCGATATACAACATTCGTCAAGCACTTAACTAAAGTTTTTACAGTATGTGTCACGCGCCTCATCAAAAAAAAAAAAAAAAAACAAATAGATACTACAAAAACAAAAACCACAATCAGTCATCAAGCCATTCCGACATATAAGACACAACAACAACGGTGTTCCATCTTTTGGAAATTACAAACTCGATATACGCAGTTACTGTTTCAGGCGTAACCCTCGCCCCCTCTGCAGCGCTCACGACAACATGGGACTTTAGTTACTTATTAAGTTATAAAGTTACAAAAATCTATAATTTTTACGCCGCGCGCGTTTCGTTAATTTTCAGCATCATACGTTAAATGCGCGCTGTGTAAAAATTACATTGATTTATTTTCTTATATTGTTATCAGTTTAATTTATAAGTGTGCGAAAAAAAACCAAGTGTGTGTGTTTTTATGATATAGCTATATGTAGTTGTTTATATTATTTGTTCATTTTTGGCACTTGTATTTCTAAAAAACAATGTATTATATTAACTACAACTCCAAATAATAAACATAAAACTGTATAATCTTATGCTTCTGCTAATGCAGAAGTACTAGAAAGTACTCCAACAATATTATTACTATAGAAAGTATTCCATATTAAAAGCTATTAAATACATACGTTTTGTTAAACAATCCCCAATAACTTGACTGATCCAACTTTAATCATTTGCACATCGACTTTTTGCATGAATCCATGAAAATTCCACTTCTATTTAAATTAATTTATTGTAATGATTTAATTAAACCGATATTACAAATATTGGCGATAGCTTAGCAAAGTATGCAGCATCTGTATCGAACGGTATCGAAATGGCTTTCGAACATTGTTTCATTCGCCGTTTCTGAACAAGGACACCAAAAATTGTTAAGGTTGTATTACTTTTTCTAATACAAACCATGGTTGATTGCTTGCCCCGACAGTAAATAATCGACTACAGGAACAACTATAGTTTAATTGAGCGAACTATTGGCTCAACTGTCATTTTCAGTCTAGCAAAGTCACGTTGTCAGCCTGATCAAACTCTTTTTGTCTTCTGCTTTCAACCGAAACGGTCGAATTTCTCTGAGCTCCTACGGTAAGCAATGTAAGTTTTTGGAAAGAAAAAAAAAAAAGGAAAGAAAAGGAAGAAAAAAACTGAGAAAAAGAAATATAGCTACTGAAATAGTTTCGTCCCTGTTTAGAACTGCATCGAATATGTCTGACTACGGAGAATCCACTTTTGAGCCTGGCTACGATAATTCAGAGTCTCATCAGCTGCAAGACGCAGGTCAAGGTGAGCAAATCGAAGATGCTGCCTGGGAGGAGGACGATATGAATGGCTTCCAACAGTCGGCCATCAATGACTGGCCCGAAATTAAGCTATTCGGTCGCTGGAGCTGCGATGAAATCACAATTAGTGACATTTCGCTGCAAGATTACATTGCTGTCAAGGAGAAGTTCGCTCGCTATTTGCCGCACTCGGCTGGACGCTATGCAGCCAAACGTTTCCGCAAGGCCCAGTGCCCAATTGTGGAGCGTCTGACTTGCGGCCTAATGATGAAGGGACGCAGCAATGGCAAGAAGCTGCTCGCTTGTCGCATCGTCAAGCATGCTTTCGAAATTATCCACTTGTTGACCGGTGAGAATCCGCTGCAGCTCACGGTCAATGCCATTGTTAACGCTGGGCCACGCGAGGACTCCACGCGCATCGGACGCGCTGGCACTGTGCGTCGTCAGGCCGTCGACGTATCGCCATTGCGTCGCGTTAATCAGGCAAGTGCTGGGTGGTCCTAACAACATATTTTCCTAACGCCAATCCTTATATCACACTCCAGGCCATCTGGTTGATCTGCACAGGCGCACGAGAGGCTGCTTTTCGCAATATCAAGACCGTTGCCGAGTGCCTGGCCGACGAGATGATCAATGCAGCCAAGGGCTCATCCAACTCTTATGCTATCAAGAAGAAGGATGAACTCGAGCGCGTGGCCAAATCTAATCGTTAAATGCTAATTTAACATGCCAAAACAGAAAAACCAAAATCAAACAAAAAACGAATTGAATTTAAAACGAATATGTGCTATATGTATGTAAAAACAAAAAACTTCAAAAAAAAAAAGTACACTAAACCAATAAAAATAAACAATAATGAATATCTGAAAATAAACAGTCTAAATAATTTGAAAAAAGTATGTATAATTCAACTTAACCTAAATGCTGGCATTTTTTCATTCAAATAAGGCGTTAACGGTGAATGAGCATGTGAGTCCAGAACGAGTTGTCAGAATTGAACTAGTTCCCCATTCAAATATGGCGTTCATTGTGCAACAGTACTTTTGTAGTTGTTGCATTACCAGTTACCATTTGAAGTATTAATTATTTATTCGCATCGAAGCTCAACTGTCTAAACAAAGAGCTTTTGACGTCAGAGGCTTCGTTTCAATCTTGAAATTTTTGAAATACATGTCAACAAAAATAAGCAGAGATTTAATTTCATTGGTTAATTTAAGTATTTGCAGAATTGATATACATAAGTACGTTTAATTGGGAAAAGAACAAAATAATGGGTATTCGCACAATTTGTCTTATATTCTTTGGCCTGTGCCTTTTTGGAGTCCTGGCCTTCATTCTGGGCAATGTGATGACTGACCTAGGAGAACGGTCAGGCTTGAGCTGGTTCCTGCACACAACTAGTCCCTACATGTGGGCCGGTCTGGGCGTCGGCCTGTGCGTCTCACTATCCGTTGTGGGCGCTGCGATTGGCATTTTCATGACGGGCGTCAGCATTGTCGGAGGAGGGGTGCGTGCGCCTCGCATCAAAACCAAGAATCTAATATCTGTGATATTTTGCGAAGCCGTTGCCATTTACGGCCTAATCAGCTCGATTGTGTTCTCCGGGAATCTGCAGACCTATGTGATCCACAATGTGATCAACCATCGCAAGATCATGACGCGAAACATATTCACGGGATACGCCACCTTTGGCGCCGGCCTGTCTGTTGGTCTGGTGAATCTCAGCTGTGGCATATGCGTGGGCATTGTGGGCTCTGGAGCAGCTCTAGCGGATGCCGCCAATTCATCCTTATTTGTCAAGATACTAATTGTGGAGATCTTTGGCTCAGCAATTGGACTGTTCGGATTGATTGTGGGCATTTACATGACGTCTAATGCGGAAATGGTTAATTAATTCATTTTTTATTAAAAACTATAACTTAAATACTATTTATTCATCGTCACTATCTTCTGCGCTGTTCGCATCCTCTTCCCCTTCTTCCTCGTCCTCTTCATCCCAATGCTTGATTTTCTTGTTGGTCATGAAGTCCTCGCGCAGCACATTCCATTCGGGTTTCTTTTTATTGCCAGCGCCTTTTGTGGGCTTGTCGTCATCTTCATCTTCATCAGTCGTCGACTCCGGCTCCTCCTTCTTCACGGCGTTGTCAATTGCCGTGGACTTGGAGCGTTTACCGCTCATCAATACGTCCAGGAACTTGCTCTTGTCTATGTTCTTGCGCACTGCGTCCTTTCGGCTGTCCAGCGGTCCGGCCTCAGCCAGCTTCTGTTCAAGATCCTTCTGTTGGATGCGCACTGCATTAAAGAACTGAACCGTGCCTCGTGTCGCCACCTTGCGCAGATTCCGTTCTCTCTCAATATCCTGTTTATCGGGCTTAACACGTAGTTGCAGTGGCACATTTTTGCGCTGTTGACGCTTCAGTTCCGCATCAAGTGCGGAGCCCTTCTCTTCTTTGATATCCTTTTCCGTCTTGACCTCAACTTCTGTTCCATCGATCTCAAAGTCGTAGCTCTTTTTATCTTTACTGCTCTGAGCATCGTTGGGCTTCAGTTTCTTGGCTCGCGAGAGAACTGTCTTCTTTTGCTTCTCAGGTGGCTTTTGCTGCAGCAGCTTGGCAATTGTTCTTGCCCAAGCGGGATTGCCTTCATTGTCGCATTCATCAATTTTGTCTTCTTCCTCATCGTTCTCTGAGGCAGAAGACGCTTCTACGTCTTCGGTAGGCGGCGCTCTCTTCTGGGACAACAGCGCCATCAATTTAATGAATTATTAAATGTATATTCTATTAAAATATTTGTATTCGCGGTTAGCACGTGGGAGCATCAAGTTGATGCCATCAACAATAAATTTGATGCGATCAGCTGTTCAGAAGTGTTGAAAAGTGTAATTTGGATTTGAACTAGTTCCGAGCCCCCAGCTAACGCGCAAATTTAAATTAAATTGATTTCAATCCAATAAATTAAAAATACCATATAACAAATCTTTTCATGTTTATTTAACAATGATCAGCGATAAATTCTCCAGCGCAGTCAGGTAGGTCTTTAGATTACACGGAGTTTGATTATCCGTGGAACCGCTTTGCAGTTGATAAATGAAAATCTGTATAAACAGCTGCGTTAGCTAAGAAAAAAATATTTTAGCATGTAAGAATATGAAGTAAAATGAATGTTATTGTAGTTAAACTAACCATTTGGACTTGTTTATTGCCTTGATGGACGGTGACGCCTTCTAGAAGCACAGCAACAAACTTCGCATAAAACTCTTGCAAATGGACGTGCAACGCTTGGAGAGGAATCGGCAGCACACACACTAGAAAACAGCGCTGCATCTCGACCAGCAGCTTGGTAGCCGCGTCTACGCTTCGCAACAGCTTTTCAGACTCCAGCACAAGCATTTGCAGTATACTCTTTGCCCACCGATAACTGGTGCAGACATTCAGGGAGGCACACACCTGCAGGCATTCAGTCAAATGATTTGACTGCGTTAAGTCAGTGGCTAAAGCTGCTGCGATTTCATTCTTGTTGATGGCAAAATAGTAGCCAAGCTTTGTTATGAAATGCATTAGGGAAACCGACATTTCTGTACTTGAGGCCAGTGAAATATTTTGGATTAGTCGCTCGAGCATGTCATCGCAATGATTCCACTGAAAAAACAAAGGCTTTGCTTAACTTATAAAATAAGAAAATGCGCCAAGAATCACTGTACCGTAAAAACATCCACATTCATGAAATGATCCAAGCATAGTAAGAGGCAATCCCAATTGCAAATTGTTCCGCTAAGTGTTTCCATGCTCTGGACATCCCGGAAGACGTTCTCGTAAATAACACTTTGCACATTCAGTTGCTGAATATCATCAGGGCGCTATGTGAATAAATCAGCTCTATGAATATAAAGCATATGAAAAGTTTAGTTATATGCTTACTCCATGTTTTAACATCAGTGTAAATATGCGCACGCCCAGTTGTTTGTATTCCGTCTGAAAGCTCTCGCGCACATTGAGGCCCACTGCTAAGCTGAAAGCAAGCATTTGCATGGACATCTTGACATCGTTTATGTGTCGATGCTGCAATACTAGTTAATTAATAAAAGGTCAATACAATGTATTACTCATTATTCAACCTCCAAGTATCTAACGTAGCCATGAACCGCGCCCGGCTGTCGCTTCCAGCAGTTTTTATGCAGCTTTTCCTCATAGTATTTGAAAATAAAATTTTCCTCTGCTTTATTGCAGTTGGAAGCCAGTTTTCGAAGCAATTGATTCGCATTCCGCAGCAATGGTTCGCAATCGCTATTAAGGCGGTAGATCGTCGGCGAAGCGGTTAGTTCACAGAGCAGCAAAACGAGCTTCGCTCGAATCTATAACAATCAATGCATGTAAATTAGAGGCATCGCAGTTTACCGTAAGATAAATACCTCCTGGTATGGAAGATCATATAAGAAGACAACTTCGTTTTTGTGTAGTAAATCGTATAACTTCGGCAGCTCTTGTTCGAGCATGGAATGATAGTCCTTAAAGTGCGTCGGCAGAGTCTGAACTTCATCCAGATCTACTTTAAGGCTGGGCAGCATGCAAATCTCTATCTGCTCAGATATAAGCTCAATCAGCGTATCATTTGCCATCATAAATAAACACTTTTCAAATACAATAAAATCATTTCATTGGCAGCCTAATGCTATCGATAAGTGACAGCTGTGCGAAAGTGTGCCCAGTCGTTATTCGGAATACTAAATGGTCACTTTTTTTATTTAGTGCACCCGGTCAGATTTCTTGTGTATGTTTATTTGCTAATTTTTTAAGTTGTGTATTACTAGCTAAAGGAACAAAATAATGTTAAAACTAAAGCTCGAGGCGCTGGGTCATCCAACACCCAGCGAAGTTGCATTGAGCAGTGAGTATACAAATTGTGAACGTTTTAAATTGGAATACGTTTAACTCATCCTCGCACACAGATCGCAAGGAATTTGCAAGCACAGTGCTTTGGCTAGAAGATCAAAAAATACGTCTTTATACAATTGAAGATCGCGAGAAATTGCGCAATCTGGACAACATGTTGGTTTGGGAGGAGGGTTATAAGAAATACTGCGCTGATGTGAATATGCCCCCATATGAATCCCAACTGGAGCAGCTCACCTGGTTGGTGGGACATGCAATACGTCTCGAGTACCTCGATGATCCTGCTCAATACGAAACAATCAATAGCCAGCCCGCAGGCCAGACAAAAAGCAACGGAGCGCTCTCACAGCAAAAAGTTCAAACCATATTCAATGGCAGCATAAATGGTGAGATTCGCACGTTACAATTAATAGAGCTAACAATTAATAATCATTACTAATGTTGATTGAACAGTCCACGACAAGGAGTTCATTAGTGGGGTACGCGCCTTGGCCTCAAAGCTTAAAGTGCCCTACCACCCCAACCATTTGCTGCAGCTGGAGGCCGTGGCGCGCATTGTACATGAACGCGTCGCTCCAACAGCCAGCCACAAGACGGCGGTAACTGGCACCCCTTTTCCCTTTGATAAGGGCAATGATGTTGTTTCGGCTAACGATCCGGCTCTCGATTATCCCATGCGTATTCTGCGCCTGTTGCAAATACAAAGTTTACGTCAGCTACAAACTCAAATCAACGAAACTATTGTTGCCGTGCAGAATCTAACTGCCAATCCAAAGACTGACACCAAGCTAGGAAAGGTGGGACGCTGAAGCCAGGAAATATGTCTATGTACCGATGAATAAATGTAATGAACAAATTAAATTTAACAAGCGTCTATAATTAAATGGCATCAGCGCTTAAAAAACGGATGATCTCCTGTCAATTTTTTGGGTTCCTTCGCGGGTTCCGCCTTCGCCTTTAGAAAGTCTGCGTCCGCCAAACGTGCAACACCCAAAAATCCAGCAACTATATGAACAAAAAATATGAGTTTATTTATTTCAATTATAGCTCCTGCACTACACTTACCTGCCGCAATGCTTTTCATAGCGTAGTGCTCCACAGGTGAGCGACGACGTTTAGCTTGTGAGAGTAGAAACGCTCCAATGCCGAGCATGCCAAATCCACTTATTAAGCGGCATGAGACACACTCCACGGACTCGGAGACATTGTCCCGATACCAAGCTGACAATTTACCAATCATTGTTTCCGCTGTCTGCGGGACTTTCGAAATTTCGAGAGAGTTTATTATTTAAATTTGGGTTTCTTCTAAGTTGGTTAACAGTTGTGTCGATGTTTGTTCAAACGAATGGAGAACAAAATTGTAGGTTCTATTAGTTCTTTCCAGTCGAAATATCGATATACAGCTGCAGATAAATAAACTTTTGTTTCTGTTGCCAATAGTCGATATTTAAACAAAAATAATATAGCAATATATTGTGATCTATAAAAAAAATTGTATTTTTGTAGTAAAGGCTGTAATTGTGGACTTGTCTGATTGTAATGATATTCCCGCAACTACAAATCGAAATCAAACTTCCACATTTGAACAATTTATTATTCAAGGTTGCATTAACAACTTGTCGCTAGACCACCACATTGTATCGACTATGCAACGCAGACCGCCACACTTTGCAGTGAAACAAACTCAAAGCAATAATAATCACTAATTTAAATGTTTAAAATTCAACAATAACGCTACTTCCAACTGCAAAAATAGTAAGTTTAGTATCTTCATAAAATTGGCTAAGTTTTAAAAGTTATCATTGTGTAAAAGCATATGAAAATGTAATGGAAAATAGATGCCGAAAATGAAAGAAAAAATTGCCGACGCGACAACGCTACACACACATTCTAAGACACGTACACACACGTATACAACACTTGCTTGCAAATGGCGGATGGTCCCCACAGCAAAAACTGCATGCATATACTGTGTATCTGTGTGTGTAGTTGAAGGTAGAAATATTGCTCTGTGATTTTGATGTGAAAAGGTTGTAAAATTGTCGACGTTGCAAGAAGTTGGAAAAGTAAAAAAAAACGATAATTGTATAATAAAAACAGATACATACATACGTATGCATATCTGCGCTTACTTGTGTGTGTGTATAAAGACTGGTGCATTTGTTGTTTTTGTGCGGCGCAGCAGCGACGCCCTTTTGTCTTGAACTGTAGGATTTACGTACATTGCCTTTTTGCATAGATCTCGGCTGACTCTACGCCCCCGCATCAATTTAGAGCGGCGCTTCGTTTTCTATGTACATATATATATGGATGAGAGAGTGAGTGCGTATGAGTGTGTAGGTCTGGCATGCTCCACATCTATCAAGCAAAAGACGATTGCAAACAGCCGCATATTCGAAATCGGGTTTAGGTCACTTGGCAGGCATATACATAGGCATGCATACATGCATACATACATATGTATGTACATAATATAATTCGAAGTGTTCTTTTTGTTTTCCTCAGTCTCGCCAATTAGCCGCTTAATAAGCCACGTTGAATTTTTGTCTTGTATAAAATACTTTCACTTTATGCCAATTAATTAAACGTCATTAATGTGAAATTAATATATGAGTACGCTCTTTAAAAGAATTGTTTTTAGTTATTTATTGTCTGCTTTGCCAAAAACTTTGGCGTCTGATTGTCCTATGTAAATGTGTATGAGTGTGTGTGTATGCTTGTGTGTCGTTGCCTTGCCTTTTTCGCGATGGTATCAAACAAGAAATAAACATAATTGATGTGTTGGCCCCTATATGTTGCACTCGTGCATATGTACTTGAGCGTGCGTGCGTGTGTGTCTGTTATTGTGTGGTCATTTCTTTTGACATTTACACATTGCTGGCAGACAAACAGCCAGCAGCCAAGGCGAGCCGAGCCGACACAAACGCTGCCCTGCCCTGCCCGGCCCTTCAATTTTAATACCCACTTATATTCATACAGCCTAACAGACATTCATAAAGAGGGCGCAAATAATAAATGCGCATAGTTTCCATTCATTAGACTGCCGCTACAGATTGATTCCCTTGGACACTTTTGACAAACAACATTCGTAATCAATAATCATTAACACACATCAAATATTTCTTTTGATTTCCAGTGAGTATTTTGTTGTTATGTTTTGAGAATATTCAGTGAGTAATTAAATGCGACACAAATTCAGAATTTTGTGACCCACCTGCCTAAAAGAGAAAATTAGCATCGTCAGCAGCGAACTTGATGCTTGCTCCCACGCATCGCACTCTCGAAATGGCATGCTCTCGTTATTAAGCGCACATAACAACATTGCATGTTGCATAAACATAAACATAAAAAAATGTTTTGAGAACTTTCTATAATTATCATTTGCCTGTTGCAGCAGCAGCCTGCCTGACTATCAAAAATAGCAAAAGCAAAATTGCATTTATGAATAACATAAAACAAAGGCGTCGAACGATAAAAATTACAAAAAGTAAAAGAGAAAACAAAAATGAATGAGTATTTGTGTACGTGTGCGTGTGAGCGCCCTTGTGAGAGCGAGAGAGAGTGCTCAGCACTTGCTCCGTTACCATTACAGCAATTGGGTGTGAGTGAAAAATTCCATATGGGTAGCGGCAGCTTTTTCCGACTAATTGAACAACAACAAAAAATTGGGCCATATTTGCAGTTGGCGCAGCTTGCAATCGGGCCAGCAGTAAATTTAGCAAACGACTCAGCCATAAACATATACATATGTACATATGTAAAGTTATTTAGGCACTCATACACATATACTAGTACTTGTTGCAGTTGTAGTTGTTGCTATGCTGATAATAATTCTCAGAGCTGTGCCAGCGGACCGTAGCCACAGCCAGTTTTGACTGTCATACAACACATACAACCGAGCGTATAGTCTGAATGTGTATGCATGTGTGTGTGCGTGTATATATTTGAGTACATTCCGCAGCGGCGCTCTTCCGGTTGATGACCTTTACCGGCTTTTATTTGTAGTTTCTTCTTTACGGCCGCTGGACGTTCGAAGAAATGCCGCCTTTGTTGGCATCGTTCAAGTGTAGCTGAACCCACTCAAATCGTTCTCACTGGCACACATTTAGCACAGAGCTGTTAAATGTTTCATTCCAAAACTATCATTAGACTAGACGACCGAAGTCGACGTCAGAGTAATTCTGGGTCCCTGCTACAGCTACGTTTGCGTTTCCAATGACGAATCGCAATCAGCGCACACTGTCAGTCGCAACAGCGTCGTCATCAAAATTAACTGGAATTTATAGTGCGCAAATCGACAATATTGACACAGCAAGTGATTAACACAATAAAAAAAAGTGAGATAGAAAGAGAGAAAGTAAATATGTACATATACAAGTGTACGCTGTGAATCCCCAAACAAATACCAACATGCACTGAAAAGACGTATAGGACGATTCCATTAAAGATTAAATCATATACATATGTACATACGTCTGTATATGTGTATGTGTGTATATATGTATTGCAGCAGTAAAATGTATAAGTAAAGAGCCTGAAGTTGTTAAGTCGGACCTGCTGAAATTCTTCAGTTAATAGCCGAGCAGACCTGAGCGAAGCAGAAAACATGACGTTGCTTCGAGACAGTTGCTTGCTGAGTGACAAAGACAGAGAGAGAGGGAGAGAGCAACAACCTTGAATTGTATTTGCAATTTGTGAATTCTCAAAGAAGATAAGAAGAACAGAACAAGCGGCAACAAAAGCAAACGGAGCTTACGGAGCACACTTAATATTTCAAGTTCTAACTGTATGCTGTAGCCGTCGCGTGAGCGAAAGAGCGAGAGATAGCGAAAGAGAACCAGAGAGCATTGAGCTGAGCTTTGGCATCGGCTTCACCGTTGCCGTTGCTGCTAGCTGGCACTTTGTGTCATTCGTGTTGTGTCCATTTAGCGCTCGGTACAATAGACGTTCAAGCGCGTTTTAAGCAAGAAATAAAGAAGAAGCGTAGACGATCCCACATAGTAAGTGCTTTTCAATATTTTGCATACGTGTGCGTCAAACAGTAGTGCTTTGTGTGTGTGTGTGTGTGTTTGTAAATTTCCTGTTATATTTGCAAGTCTTTCTTTGGTTATTCTTTGTGGCCAGCTTTTACTGTTCGTATCCGCTTAAGTTCAACCAAATAAGAACATTTAAAGCTCTGCTCAAACAAGTTGCTATGGGCTTGTTCAATTTCACTTATCGATGCATGTTATCGATCCCAGCCTGAAATATTCCAGCACTGATGTACATACATATGTATGTATGTACAGAAAAAATATACTGTTTAAAGTGCAACGGCTATCTCAATTACGAAACGAAAGCCCCATAAACAACATAGCAATAACAACAGGAACAGCGATATACACAATTTTTATTTACAACACATCCACCAACAATGACGATAACAATTGTGTACTTCGGTATCATTCACCGGCCGGCGAACTGATAAGCATGCGTCGTGTTCACTGCCGCCTGGCACATGCACTAACACAAACAATCAGGCACGTTCGAGTGAATGACAATTATAATTGATTTTGATTGTTGAGTCGTTGATCTTACTTTTTGTTTAATGTTGAACATTCGACGCAGCTCCAACCATCAGCGAATCACTAATTGCTAAGCTACACGTCATTGGTAATTCCACAAAAAAAAGCTCCCAACTGTTAGATGTGGAAAATATTTTAAAAATTTAATCGCCCATCAGATTTTAAAATTTCTAGTCAGCGTCGACTTTTTAAGACCACACAAAAGGCACGTAAAGACTTGTTTGTGAATCAGATATGAAGTCATACTTTTACTGAAATATAAAAGTAACAGTAGACTATTAATAAAAAAAAATTCGT